CGCACTCCCGCTCCCCTCCGGCTCCGCGCCGCGCCGCTGGCAAATGGCGGACAAGATGGCGGCGGGTCAGCTGACGACAGGAGCCCAGGCCCGGCGACCCGCCCCCGGAAGCCCCGCCTCCCCCAAGGGCCCCGCCCCTATATCTCCAGGCCACCACGTTTCCCTGGCGACGCCTGCCGCCCAATGGAAACGCAGACAACGCCCTCACCGTCCGCTTAGCTTCGCACGCTCCGGCTCAGGGCTCTTCTCTGTCATTGGCCAGCGGCCCCCATAACTCCACCCACTTCCTTGTTTCGGGTTCTAACCACGCCCTCCAGGGGGGCCCTCCCTGCCCCGCCCCTGAACCAAGTGACAGCAGTGGGTGGGGCCTGCTGTGGGCGGGGCTCCCACGTGGAGCTTCTCAGGCAAGTTCCTGGGAAGGAATCCAGCTCCGCCTTTCCTGAATCGAAAAGCTGACACTGCTCGAGAAGCCCCAAACCCGACGCAGCGGGGAGCGGATGCGGTGCCTCCAGCGCGTCTCTGAAAACCCCGTGACACGGGCAGGACGGGAATAACATGTCCACGTGGAGGAACGGAGGCCGGGAGCTGGAGGTCCAGCGAGGCCGGTTGGCTCCGCACACATTCGTGGGGGCCTACTGGATGCCAGGCGACGAGACACGCGGCGCCCGCCCTCCGCGTGCACCCCTACCAGAGCAAAAAGGCAAGCCACCAGCTGGGATGAGATAGTTGCAACGTTTATACATCCGACTAAGGACTTTAATCCACAAAGGCAGAGCAAAACAAAAATTCGTACAAATCACGAAGAGAAAACCAACCCAGTTAAAATATGGCATGCATTTCACAAAAGGCAACACCCCAGTGGCCAAAAGATAAAAAGCAAAAGGTGCTCTATCTCTTTGGTCATCGGAGAAACGCCAATTTAAAGGACAATGAGACGCCTCTGTACCGGTATGAGAATGGCTACAATCAGAAAGAATGACACTGTCGAGAGTTGTAATGATGTGGAGCAACTGAAATTTTGCTCTTCCTGTCCAGGTAGGAATATAATACTACACAGCTTCTTTGGAAATCTGCCTGGCTGTCTGTGTTTGTTTTTGTTTTTAAGTAAACTCTACCCCCACCGCGGAGCATGAACTCAGGAGCAGGAGATCAAAATTCGCCTGCTCCACAGACTGAGCCAGCCAGGCACTCCTGGCTGTGTGTTTTAAAGATAACATGCATAGACCCTGTGCCCCAGAAATGTCACTACTGTTCCCGACAAGAATGCAGAAATACATCCACCAGAGACTCGGAGGAGCTGTATTTCTATTAGTCCAAAATAGCCCAAATGTCCATCAACAGAAAAGGGATGCACAACTTTGCGGCCACCATACCATGGAGTACTACGCAGCAGTGAAAAAGGACAGATTACTAATACACAGAACAAAACGGATAAATCGCACAGACACGATGTGGAAGGAAACCAGCGCAACACAAAGGAGTGTGCATGATATGATCCTATCAATGTCAAGTTCAATTGCGGGCAAAACCGGCCTATGGTAAGAAGCATTACATAACTCTTTAGAGGTTACCCAACTGTACAGAGAAGAACTGGAGACTGGATGTGTAAGTTCTGGCATATACATGCAACAGATTCCTGACCAACTGTTAAAAGAATACAGTAGGTAAATGCTATGGGACTTGCCCTCCCACGCTAAACAGCAGGAGAACTGGCTAAAATACTGTAGGCACCATCCAGACTGTGATTAGGCGGGAAAACCCAAACAGAGCACAACAGTTTCATGAAGTGAGGGGATAAAGACGGGAGATGAGGGAGGTCCAGGTGGCTAGAATTTTCAGAGCAATGTAGCAGAGAGCAGAGAGCTATCTCGAGAAAGAACTCATAAATTTTCATAAGCGTCCCCATGAGTCTTTGGCTGAATGTCACTGCGTGTGCATATGGTGAAGATCCACCAGGCCAGGCCAAAAACCAGTGGCTGAAAAACAGGGGAGAATGAAACATAAACCTCTAATCCAAAAAGTACAGTATGAAAAATGCTCCCTGCATGGACTTAGTGATAGAGTACACATTGGGAATTGTAGGTCACTAGTGACATTGAAAATTTCAGGGGCGCCTGGGTGGCTCAGTCGGTTGGGCATCCGACTTCGGCTCAGGTCATGATCTCACGGACTGTGAGTTCGAGCCCCGCGTCGGGCTCTGTGCTGACAGCTCGGAGCCCGGAGCCCATTTCAGATTCTGTGTCTCCCTCTCTCTCTGCCCCTCCCCTGTTCATGCTCTGTCTCTCTGTCTCAAAAATAAACGTTGAAAAAAAATTTTTTTTTAAAAAAGAAAATTTTATAATAAAACAATCCACAGTGAAACACACCGAGGACAAAGAATGCTTTCGGGATGAACAGAACCTCAGTGACCCGCAGGATAATATCAGGATCTAACATACGTATAATTGGAGCCCCATAAGGAAAGAGGAAAAGGAATGACCAAAAAAGAAAGAAAGAAAGAAAGAAAGAAAGAAAGAAAGAAAGAAAGAAAAACTGAACAAACAAGGGGCTCCTGGGTGGCTCAGTTGGTTAAGTATCCAACCCTTGATTTCAGCTCAGGTCAAGGTTTCATGGTTGTGGGATTGAGCCCCAAGTGGGGCTCCGTGCTGAACGTGGATCCTGCTTGGGATTCTTTCTCTCCGTATCCTTCCCCTTCCTGAGCACTGGCTCACTCGCTCAGTCTCTCTGTAAACAAACAAACAAACCCAAATGGCCAAAAATTTCCAAATCTGATGAAAACCATAAACCCACAGGTCTACGAACCTCAATGAATGCCAAGAATAATAAAAAAATAGAGAAAAGCAGGGGCACCTGGGTGGTTCAGTTGGTTAAGCACCCGACTTCGGCTCAGGTCATAATCTCATGGTTGGTGACTTCAAGTCCTGAATCAAGCTCTGTGCTGACAGATCGGAGCCTGGAGCCTGCTTTGGGTTCTCTCTCTCTCTGTCCCTCCCCCTCATGTTCTCTGTCTCTCTCTCAAAGATAAATAAATGAATAAACATTTTAAAAAAAGGTATTATTCTTTTTTTTAAAAATAGGGAAAAGCATACCCAGTCACGTTATAACTAAAGAATTAGAGAATAGAGAACCCAGAAATGGACCCACAAACATATGGCCAACTAATCCAACAAAGCAGGAAAGAATATCCAGTGGAATAAAGACAGTCTCTTCAGCAAGTGGTGCTGGGAAACCTGGACAGCGACATGCAGAAGAATGAACCTGGACCACTTTCTTACACCAGACACAAAAATAAACTCAAAATGGATGACAGACCTAAACGTAAGACAGGAAGCCATCAAATCAAGGAGAAAGCAGGCAAAACCTCTTTGACCTTGGCCACGGCACCTTCTTCCTCAACACGTCTCCAGAGGCAAGGGTAACAAAAGCAAAAATGAACTCTTGGGACCTGATCAAAACAAAAAGTTTCTGCACAGCGAAGGAAACAATCGGCAAAACTAAAAGGCAACCGACAGAATGGGAGAAGATATTTGCAAATGACACGTCAGATAAAGGGTTAGTATCCAAAATCTATAAAGAACTTCTCAAACTCAACACCCAACACACAAATAATCCAGTGAAGAAATGGGCAAAAGATATGAATAGACATGTCTTCTCCAAAGAAGACATCCAGATGGCCAACCGACACATGAAAACATACTCAACATCACTCATCATCAGGGAAATGCAGATCAAAACCACAATGAGATGCCACCTGACACGTGTCAGAATGGCCAACAGTAACAACTCAGGCAACAACAGATGTTGGCGAGGATGCGGAGAAAGAGGATCTCTTTTGCACCGCTGGTGGGAATGCAAGCTGGTGCAGCCACTCTGGGAAACAGTCTGGAGTTTCCTCAAAAAACTAAAAATAGATCTACTCTATGACCCAGCAATGGCACTACTAGGCATTTATCCAAGGGATATAGGTGTGCTCTTTCGAAGGGACACATGCACCCCCATGTTTATAGCAGCACTATCGACAAGAACCAAAGTATGGAAAGAGCCCAAATGTCCACCGACGATGGATGAATGCCTAAAGAAGATGTGGTGTGTGTATACACACACACACACACACACACACACACACACACACGCACGCACGCACACAATGGAGTATTACTCAGCAATCAAAAAGAATGAAATCTTGCCATTTGCAACTACGTGGATGGAACTGGGGGGTATTATGCTAAGTGAAATTAGAGAAAGACAAATATCCTATGACTTCACTCATATGAGGGCTTTAAGAGACAAAACAGATGAACATAAGGGAAGGGAAACAAAAATAATATAAAAGCAGGGAGGGGGACAAACACTAAGAGACCCTTAAATACAGAGAGAACAAACAGTTGCTGGAGGGGAGTTGTGGGTGGGGGGATGGGCTAAATGGGCAAGGGGCATTAGGGAGGACACTCGCTGGGATGAGCACTGGGTGTTATACGTAGGGGGTGACTCACTGGAATCTACTCCTGAAATCATTGCACTATACGCTAAGTAACTTGGATGTAAATTAAAAAAATAAATTAAAAAAAAAGTATTAGGGGGCATCTGTCTAGCT